CGGAAAATGTTTCCGGCACTGGCGACAAGAACGCGCTCCTTTGTGTATCGCTGAGATCCATACCACCACTTGCCGACGATATATGGTAGAAGAACACCCAAAAGGGCACCATAGACCATCAGAACATATTTGCCATTGCCATCCATGATAATGAACTTGGGAAGGGCAATACCGATGCTAAAGCTCTGCTTGCCGTCGGGGTGGCCAAATTGGAGGTAGTTGTTTCGCACCTCCTCATCGGTGAGAGCTTTATATGCCTTGGTGAGCTCCACGAAACGTTCGTTGAGCATCTCGATGGTCTCATTCTTAGAGGGGTCAGGACGAATTTTATCGGGGTGAAAGATCAAAGACATGCGCTTGTAATGTCTGGAGATAGCTTTTTCATCGGCGTTCTGTTTCCAAGAATTTAGTCAGTGAAATCCCCTGAATGTAGGCACGCGCCGAGCTGAATAACTCACCCTCGAGACACCCAAAATATCATAAGGGTCGTATGCCTTCACCACTGTCCTAGCGGTGACGACAATTAAGTAGACCATCCATGCCATTACGGCATAGCCGACAACGACAGTAATAATGCGCTTGATTCGGCGCTCTTTTCGCAGACGCTTGCGCTTCTGCGCGTCAATGAGGTCCGCATCTTTAGGTTTGAAATCGGATTTGATGCGGGGAGCGGTATTCTCAAGCTCTGTAGACCACATCAAGCGGTTAGCCGGGGAACCACATCTGCATAGTACCAAATCTCACCTTTGCTAGGTCGTAGGAGGTTATAGGTGAGAGGGAGAGTGACCAGGCCGGTCAAGGTGAGGATGAAGAAGGGGAAGAATTGTCCCTGAAAGTTTAAGTTAGCGTTACCACGTCTTTATCGGATCAAGTCCCGTCCTTACCTGCTCATCATAGGTGTAGTCTGACGACATCCTGCGGCGAGTTCAGGGTATAGACAGCGGAGGCCGCTGGCCGCGGAATTTAAAGATTGTGTTGCGCAGGGCTGTTGATAGTAGCCACTTTGGATGGTCAAGAGAACGCTTTTGGGCTAGAAGAATGACACAGGAGCCTACTTAGAGCCCAAAATGCTGGCTCACAAGAAACAAAGGAGTGATGCAGGTTGGGTCTATCGCACTTCCTGATCTGGTGATGACCGTGTCCTCTAGCAGGGTCCACTCACCGCCTGCCTTAAGTGGGAGTGAATACGTGGCAGTTTTTTGAGCGGTGCAGGCGGTGAAGACGACATCTGATGTTTACTATGGAGTACATCGGTTGAACAACTACCGACTGTTGTCGTTCTATCTTATGGTTTATGAGGCTTTCTACGGCTTTGGATTGTCAAATATTGTCAAATATGTTCATAATTTTTGGTGAATGAGCTCAAGGCTGCATATACTAATTAAATACTCTAATAGAGCTGATCGATATCCAATCGATCCAATCGATCCATGCAGCAGCCTTCACCACTTCCTTTCAGTTAGGAGTCTTGACAGAACAGATCCATCGCACACAATTCTCCCCTCGTAATAAAGATAACCAAGACTTCTCCAGTCCGCCCAGAAAAGGAATTCAAGCGTCAACAACTCGAGGTCGGACGCAAACTCAACCAATCCAGACAAAGCTTCGGAAGCATCAGCCAGAAAATGTCTGATTCATTTTCTCATGTGTGTGATACAATCAGTGGACCATGATCCACACGGCCGGGCCAAAGGGGACCAATCCGATACCTGCGGTATCTTCATTGCTACAAGTCGGGGACCCGGGAAACCCGTGTGATCTGGCGTTCTCGCCGTTATATAGTGTGGTGTGGGCGCATTTGCAGTGGCCGACCGCAGACGCAGGGCGTCGCGTTGTCGGTTCATTTTCGATGGCAGTTTTTGTTTTGTTTTTGTCGAATGCGGATTCATAGGCGTCGCATATTCGTAAAATCGTTTTGGTGTTTTGTTCTTTTTTGTTGACTGAAAAAAAAAAAGTTGGGGAAACAATCCGTCCGGGAGGTCTCCAGACAGAGAGTTCAGACATTCAATCTCCAAGGGCACGGCCACTCGTTCTGGAAGAAATGTCAGGAATTGCTTTCCAAATGTATCAGAACCGACTGGTACTCACGAGTTGATGTAGTCGAGTCCACCGAAGTACTCAAGCATCCGGTAACAGAGGCTCACATCGTCGCCCGGCTCTCCACCGAACAAACGACACTGTGCTTCTTCCAGCCCAGCTGATTCCAGCCGCGAGGGACGCTCACGGGTCTGCCACGCTGTATACCCATATTGCCATGGCTGGGCGAGGGTGGGAGATCCCCGTGGAATGCATGTGTCGGGGGAATTGCCAGCAGACACAAGCGCGCCAAAGCTGTTCTGGGGTGTCCGAATGGTTGATTTGATTGGCAAGGTCGGATGCTGAGCGAGCAGGGTATTAGGTATGCGGTTGGAACGACGATTGCGGCGTCTGTTATGCCTCTGGCCCATTCTCGGCAGTTGAAGAATCGAGGATCAAAGAAATGGAGAAAGCACTTTTAACACCGAGGGGGAGCGACCATCACCTCCTGGAAAGGATGAGATGAGGTACTGAGAGAAAAAAAGGCATGCAAGATTGCAGGGGGTGACTCTTTATAGACTGAACTCGCCAAGTGAGTCACTTAAAGGAGAAAAATGGGCGACCCGCTTTTCTAAGTGGGACCCGAAGGAGGAGATCACCTTGTGCGATCACCTTATGGCTTTAAGAATGGCGCCAGCTCCCACAAGGTCCTGCGCTACTTCCAATTGGTCCAAGGGCGAGTTTTTTATCGCGTCATTCGAGGACCTCCAGTGAGTAATTACTAGATTTAACGGCTTCTTAAAATGAGGTGATTCGCCTTAGAGATGAGCCTAGAGATGAGCCTACAAAGACATTGAGTCATCCGGCTATGAAATTGCAAAAAAATGAAACAAAAAAAATGAAACACAAAATGACGCCGTCCTCCGCTGGCTGTGGCATGAGGTGATTGGGACTGATCTAGGCCGATGCCGGATTGCCTAAAGAGTGCCGTGCGGACCGAGCGATGATCACATCAGACGATAGCTTGCCCGGCTTTACCCTCATCTACCCTGACGTACCCTAAACAACCCTATGGAGATGCACAAGTACCCAATTTGCCTAAACAGCCCGGAGACTGACGAGGTCTCCGCATCGAATAATACTTAGCAAGGGATGTTTTGAATTTTTACACCTTGCGTCGAACAAACGCACGTGTGCAACGTGTTCAACGTTCAACGTGGAGAACCTTGGAGATTCTCAGATGCCTTCCAAGTTCCAAGCCACAAGGCAATAAAGAACGGAGTCATGTTTTATTTTTCTTGGGAGATCTCGGCAAGCTAAACGAAAACTTGGAGTGGTTGTACTATTGACTCAGATTTAATAATGGAGTGCCTGATCTGTGAGGATAAATATAGCCCGGAAGAGGAAATTTCTTCTTTGATGCAAATAGAACAAACAGGACAAACAGACAAACAAATGCAAACATCCTGATTCTAGACCTCCTTACTCCCTACAGCAGATCGCTGTGCCAACAGTGTTTATCGATCACTATGTTCCGGCTCAATGCAATGCGCGGTACTGTAAATCCTTCCTCGTCTGCTTCGAGCGTCCACTTCAATCATCCACTTCAGAGCTATCAACCTACGTAAAAAAAAATGAGACGTTCATTCATTGTTGACCGCTGTCTTCAAGTTGTGGAGTGTACTCCGTAGTTAGTTACCCCCTACTGACATTTCCAAACTAACGATTGCGTCTTAGGGATGATCATATTCACCATGATCTCCGTCTAGGATTGTACGAGCTCGGGCATTTCATGCAAAAGGTAGTTATATAACTTAAACTTATTATACGACTCCCTTGTCAATTGTGTATATAAGACGGTTCCTGCGCCGGATATCCCGCACATACACTTCCTGCATCTCGGCCATACTTTTCCTGAGTTTACCCGGTTTACCCTTAGTAAGGTCGATCAAAGACTGTTGTGGAGTTTACTCCATCGCTCCGCTGGATGTAGAATGGGAAAGAACAAAAAAGAACCAAAAAAGAAGCTGTTTCACGTATTCGACGGTCGTTTCCAGTTCTTTCATCTCCACACTGGGGCTTCGTTTTAATGGGGAACTGCCCAAAGAGAGACAAGGGGCTGGTTGCGATTCCACATGAAAAGGAGGTCGGTCAAGCTGGTGTCTGTAGGTTGAAGTAGAAGGACTACGATACTACGGAGTAGACTGTAAGCTCTTAAGGGATAAGCGCTGGAAGTCTTGTCGATATATTCTGCGAATCTGCGTTCAGGGGCGTAACCGCTATCTACCAAGAATCTGAGATCTTTTTCGCTAGCGTGGCCGTGAGGGATCGACCGGGGAACCTGAACAATAGTTATCCATTGCTGCCTTATTCTGGAAAACAGCCTTTGCCTATTTACGTGCGATGCGAGGTTCTACCCAAAACAAAGACTTGAAAAAGCGTAATATTTGAGATTAAAGGGACCATCTATGTTGGTCGAGGTCAAGAAATCGGCAATATCAAGTATCGGCAATTCCATAGCGATCATTGACCAGGTCTTGTCCAGTCATAACTAGAGTCAGATACAAGAGCAATGCATTAAATGTATAACGGCGTTAACAATAATCAAAGACCGACAGAGGTAATGAATAGAAAGAAGACGAATCGAACCAGGCTGTGGACACAAAGCCCGAAAAGCGAAGAAGAAGGTAAACATAAAGGAAGAAAGCGAAGTGAAGTGTAAGAGGGCAAAAAAGAAGAAACACAACCCGCGTGTGTACTGTACAGGGTCCCAGAATCCGGACCATGCCTGGCCACCAAAAGCCATCATTCCTGTCCAAGACGTTATGAATAGGATCCAACTCTAGACGAACCATTCCCTAGGTAGGAAGGGCAGCGTGCGCATCCCCGAAATCATAGACCGTAGCTCCAAAGAAATGCATGACAAGTAGGAAGGAATCGGAAATTCCGACTAGCTACCGTGTAGCTACCGTGTAGCTTCGGCCTTACTTCTTGCGGTTAGCTCGGCGGGCAGCGAGATCGCCCTCAGCGAGCCACTTGCTAGCGTTCACCATCTGGACGACGTTGACGAACTGCTTGAACGCCATGATGGGGAACGAGATGCCGGTGATGATCCACGGCCAGGTGCTCTCGAGCTTGTTCGCACGCGCCATCTCGAGGGCACCGGCGCTCCAGGGGCTAGCGAAGAGGCTAGCTGGTTCGGGGTGGGCGGGGCTTCCAGGCTGGGCGGAGGACAGCTGGGAATCGGAGATGGGCTGCAGGAGCGAAGGGGACAGGGTTGGCGAGGAGAAAGATAGGAGGTACAGGCCGATGAAGAAGGCTTCGTTGGCGGTACAGCAGATGAACAGAACGAGCTAATAAAACATTGCGAATAAGCTTGGGGACGGAATATCAGTTCACTGCGGGGGTCTTACCTTGCTGGTGTAGTACTGGTACATAATCCAGCTACGACTAGGATCGACCTTCTTGTGGCTTTGGCTGGCTCCGCCCATGCTGAGAGTAGCGTACATGTGCATGTAGTGACTGGCCATGTCCAGACTGATGAGACCCTGGAAAACGATGGCCCATCGGGGCCAGGCGGAGCTCAGGAAGACTAGGAGACACGCGGTAGTGCAGCGGTCGGTCACCATGTCCAGCACCGCACCGAAAGTGGTGGATTGGTTGAAGTATCGTGCTGCATAACCGTCCAGGCCGTCCAGCAGACAGGACACCGTGTAGAGGAAGGAGCAGGTCCGGGGGTGGAGGGGCATGTAGTATAGCGAGGCGAAGGTCAAAAAAACCCGGGAATATCCTGGGAACGTGTTAAACCAGATGCCAACGTCAGGCTTAAAGCCACATCAGCGGGGCATTCTACCGATAAGATTCGGAGTGAAGAGGAAGATATTTTCCTTGCGTTCCTTGGTTTCTTCCCGTGTGGATGCGCCCTCTGAAGGTGACACGGAGCTATTGCCTGAATCTTCGCTCTCCTCGGCGAGGGAGGCCTTTTGTCGTCGTGTTGCGCTCATTGTGATGTGAAAGGGATGTGACTGGCGAACGGTTTCTCGTATAGGTCGGGGGACGTATGGATGGATACCGGACAGTTGGTCTAGGCGCTGTCAGCGTCGGGTAATCAAGAAGCAGAGACAGAAACGCACCGAGATAAGAATACAGCGAATTCCGTCGGGATAAGGATAGGAGGTGATCCAGGTGGGAAGGAGAATTTCAACGATAAGGGAAGATAAGCGCGCTTTGTTAACACGCACTCGAAACTTCCAAGGGTCGATGAAAGAGGGGAAAGATGAAAAGGTAGGGGATGAAAGAGGAAGCTGGAAAGATGGAGGAAAGGAAATTGTGGAATGTCTGCGGGTTACTCGGAACCGTGGACTTGAGCTTTCCCCACGCGGTCCACTTGGAGGTGATCGTGATCTTGAGAGATAAAAACCGGACTGGACTTGCAACATCCCATATGTGGGTGCAACATGTCAAGTCTCGAAAAATGAAGATGTTTGTGATACTTAGGTATAGACCCTGGGAGACAGCCTGTTTCATATATTGTGCGACCTATTATAATCTTGTAAAACATGCTTTTATAGACATCATTGATTATATATGACCAGCCTACAGGCCTGAAAGAATATGTACAGAACAGAACCCAAAATATACAAGAAACTCATTCACGTCCGTGACCTGCGCGGATCAGTGGCATCCTGTCTGCGCCACTCGCGAGACTCCTTAGTACCCATGCTGCCAACGCCGCCCTCGAGACGACGCTCCCAACCACCAAGGCGAACAACAAGACAAGTAGCATTGTCACCTTCCTTGGAGACCTCGGTCGAAAAATTGACCACATCACGCGCGCCCTGCTCCGGCGTGTTGGATTCCTTGACGATATCAACGATCTCCTGGTCAAGCAGTGTCCCGCTGATGCCATCGGATACCAAAACTAAGAACGAGAACTCGGCGGGGCCAAGCTCTATGCGCGTGAGTTCAGGCTCAGCAGAGACTCCGATGCGCTTGGAGTGGACATCGCCGAAAGCGCGCGTGTTGGCTAGCCCGCTCATGCGTTCTTCGCCGAAAGAGTCCGTTACAAAGCTTGTGGCATACCGTCTGAGTCGGGTTGCCTCGACTGGGGAGGAGGGGTGGTGGTTTGATGTGACGGGGATGGCTATACCGGTTTCTGTTGAGCAGAGGAGTATACGGGTGTCGCCAACATGAGCAACTAGAAGGCTTGATGGGGCGATGGGGTGCCAGAATGGGGTTGGGGTCGGGGTCGAGATCATGGCGATGCTTCCGGTACTGCCACCCTTGAACCGAGCGCTTCCGCCGATCTGCGGAGATCGGGTCATGCTAGGCCTGTGGAAGATTTCATCTTCGTTCAGAGGTCTCTCGGCTCGAACGGGATCGTCTTCTCGCTTAGCTGCTTGAGCGTTGACAAAGTCTAGATCCGCTCGCAGGAAGGCGTACTCCACAACTTCCTCGATGGAGATGTGGTTCTTAATAATCGGGTCGTCGGACTCGGTGCCATTGTAGGCGAAATGCGGCGGCTGGAACCTCTTGAAGTAGCCACCAACTACCCGTCTCCAGGTATGCACAAGGTGTTTCTCTAGGGCTCCAATTCTGCGGCGGTCACCCTCTTGCATCACAGGTAGTTCGCTAGTGGTGGGTGGCACTTCGGCACCAGGTCGTAGACTGGACCGAAGGTCGATATCAAATGCCGCGTTCTGGATATACTCGTGCAGGTAATCCCTCAAGAACGAACTGCATTCGGATCCGCCATGGCCATCAAAGATACCGAAATAGAAGACCTGTGGGTCTCCACTCGCGGTTTCCGCACCGCGCGACTCCCGGGGTTCGGCCAAAGGGTCATTTTTGTTAGGTCGCCTAATCGATAGCGAAGTTGGAGGTCGCTTCGCAAAGGCGGGGATGTCAATGACTCCAGCTTGGTACGTGTCTTCATTCGAAGGGCGGGTTCCGCGGGAGGTGACGGCGCCGAAATGGTGCTTCGCGTTGCGGAGTGGAATGCGGACGACTGTTGTCTCCCGGTCTATTAAAGCTTGGAAGGCAGCTGGCGATCGTGGAGTGTCTCCGGTGTGAGGTATAGAGGCGGAGCGAGGAAGTTTGTGGAATGGTGAGGCCGGACCACGGGGGTCCGGATGAAGCGAAGACGACGGCAGATGGGTGACAAAGTAATCACGAAACTGTGGTTGTCGTCTAACTGCCGACTGACCAGGCGGCACAGACTCGGTACTGTAGCATCGCGCTCGACGAAGGAGAGCGAAGCCTGGGTTGTGTTAGCTAGGTGCTTCCAAGATCTAAGGATCCTCGGAGTTAAGCAGTGTAGCTCTGGTCGCACATACTGTAACAGTCGGCCGAGGTCCAGACCCGGCCTGTTACTCGCCTCGCTGAAAGGAGAATCATTGGCCCATCGAAGTATAAAAAATAGCAGTGAGGAAAAGAGGGTTGAAAAGGAATGGTGCGTGGGGAGAACACATATGGCCCGAGCGTCGGCAGATAAGAAGGATTCGGACCGGCACATTCTTTCCGTGGGATTAGCTTCAGTGCTCCACTCGCTATATATACATCATTTACCTAGAAGGGAGCATATACAATCCACCGATCTAATTTAAGGTGTTTACACAGGGGACAATAGGCCACTAATCAAACCAGTACATGATTCCTACGAAGACCTTCTAAAATGCGAAACAGTGCATGAAAACATGAAGTACCAAGAAGTGGATATCGTTCTTCATGGGCTCCACTTATACTACGTGGACTACCAGCAGGGCAAAGTATTGAATATTTCACGCAAATCGATTTGAAAACTGAAAAACAGGGTCACCAGGCGCTAATACACAGCTAAAACCGACCATGTCGGTATGTAGCAGGTCATCCAAGATCCACGGAAGTGGATCAGAAAGAAGCACGGGTGGCCAAACAAGAAAAACGAAAAACAACGCTGAGAGATGGGCACCTACCGGGTAGCAGGGCCGTCCATTAAGTCCACGGAAGACAGGGGGATCTGCCTTCAGAAATTCCGGGTTAGATTTCGAAAAAAAAAACACGGGATGTACTCGGGAGAGTATTAGATCGCCCTAGTTCGGGAGAAAAGACTGCTGTAAACTGCATCCACGACGGGTTGGGCGGTGCACATCTTTCCACCGAAGTATCGGCCATTGAGGCCCTTGATGGCGTTCTCGCCACCTTGGACGCGGTCGAACTTCAGATAGATATCTCCGACGGAATTGGGATCTAGTGAAATGTGAACAACGTGGCCGTATTTCTTCTCACACTCCGTTCGGACGTCCTCTTCGAGGTCCTTGACCCAGGTTGGACTGTGCTCTCTGTAAAGAAGTTAGCGTTCATTCTCTCATGATGGCGTCAAGGAAACTTACAGCGCGGGGTCAAACATGTTGCGCAGCAAAACACAGCGACTAGCCATGTTGACATTGATGGGAAGCGGCTTAGTTTCGGTCTTGGGTCGGAGGAATTTCTGACGGTCGTCAACAGAAGACTGGGGTTCGTCGGTTCGTGCAAGCTTTCTCATCAAAGCATCCCTAGAGTAGTTGTTGAAGTTTACGCCAGCAACATCCGTGTCGTCAAGTGCACTAGCACCGGCACCCTTTTCAGTTTCTCTGCCGCCAGCACGGTCAAAGTTGTTGGAGCCTCCGGCTTGAACGCCACGACCTCCCTGGCCGGAAAACGAAGAACCCTGGAAGTTTGTAGAAGCACCTGAGGCGCGATTGGCGTGCGAGTCGGGGGTGAACTTATCATTGCCGAGGCCAACCCGAATATTTCGTCCAGCAAGGTCAAAGCCGTTCATCTTTTCCAAAGCGTTCCGAGCTTGATCGGGGTGGGCAAATCTAGTCAAGTCAGTTAGTGGAAGTGTCAATAACATGGACGGACAACGTACTGAACGAATGCATATCCCTTGCTTCTACCACTCTCGTCCGTTTGCAGCTGAACGAACTCGAGGTCGCCAAATGGTTCGAAGACATTGGTGATATCCTTCTCGGTAATGCTGAAGTGAACATTACCAACATAAAGTCTGTGGAATGGGGCGGTGTGGTGGTTTCCTGCTGGAGCCTCCGGGTTTCGGGCTGCCTGGCGGTTCTTTTCCGCTTCAGTCAGTTGGGCAATGACGGGAATTCCTGCGAGCATCTGGCCGGTGAGTCGGATGGCGGCGGAGACAGACTCCTCGTTTTTGAACTCGACGTAGCCGACACTATACGAAATATTAGAAAGTGATTTGACGAAGTAATCATGTGAAAACATACCCTTTGGAGCGGCCGTTAACACGATCCCGGACGATTTGAGCATCCTTAACCGGGCCGGCCTTTTCAAAGAAGGCAATCAAATCCTTGATTCTCAGACGAGCAGCAAGTTGCTGCACAAAGACAGTGCGACTGTCACGTTCATCCTCGTTCAATTCTGGAGACTTGCGGCTGGCGGCAGATCCACGGCGAACATCAGCATCACGGCGGGGGCGTCGTTCTTCCTCACGCTGGCGGCGATTGGGCCGGTAGTGGCGATCGTCATAGGGAGAACGGGAGCGGGAACGAACGCGACCTCCACCACGGTAGAAGTCACCGTTGGAGCGGTAGCCGTCACGGTCACGGCGAGAACGGCGTCTCTCAGATTCGCGACTCTTGCTCCTCTTTCGGCTTCTAAGGCTTCCATTAGCACTAACAGTGTCGCTCTTGACGACTTCGTCTCCCTGAAGGTCACGGTCAGGGCGGCGGTCACGGCTGTGGTCGCGGCGACGACGTCTGTCGCGGGAACGATCACGGCGCTCGGTGGGGTCCGCGCGGGAATCCGAAGTGGCGGGGGCCTCGACGGGGGCCTCGATGGGGGCGGCCGCAGTAGACTCAAGGAGAGCCTCTACGTCAAGTCCAGACATCTTGGGAGGTAGCCTGTTGTTGATCAGGGTAGAAATGATCGGGGTGGGGATATCACTTTGTAGGGGTCAGATCGCGTACGGGGACGCAGAGTTGGTATTCGAACCCTGATTATGGGATCAGGGTGAGGTCTCCTTGGGTTTGCACCCTTTTTACACGCTTTAGGACTCTTGTTCTTGATGAAAGTCACGCCAGAAACGCGACAAAAGATGATGGGAGCTTGAAGCACTGGGGGTGATGGTATAGTATAAATAAATTTGGTTGGCCGGGACCTCGGGAGGCACAAAGAGGGTCGAGGCGGTGAAAAGAAGAGAAGAGTCACGTGGGATCTGAGATTTCTCGCCGCCTTATATATCAAGGCGGTCAGGTTTCTGCCTGAGGCAGACTTACGCGTTGAACTTGGAACCTTAAAATGTCAGTATACTTCTATGGATACAAGCAGTACATTTGACAGCGCGGAAGAATCTGCCTTTTATTTCCTTTGCCCCTTGATATCTGTCAGACCCACGCTCTGAAGGGTCACTTTTCTTTCATCTACATCCCTATGATTGTGACAATTGCCCACTTGTTTTGCCTGAGCAGGCAAAAGTTCACCTAAGTAACTATGCAAACGACTTCATATAGCACGTAGTAGATACTATAGAGATATAGATATTATTTTCTTGCATTATGATTAACGGTCATATACACTGATAAGTGATGCTTGTTTTAAAAAGTAATCGACTCCGCCTTGCAACTAGCATCATCACAAGATATGACATGACAAAGTCTCCCCCCGAGACCAACCGGAAACTCCACACCAGCCAATATACTTGAGGAGTATTGAGGAGTACCGAAGAGTAGTGACTCGATCGTACTCGGCGTTAAATCGTGACTTGAGGACTAGTGACAGCCCCATATTAATGCTGTGATTTCTTGGGCTCACTGAGCCTTGACGCCCTTTGGCGCGGGAGACACCAACTCGGTGCCAAAGACTCGATCCCAGAATCGGCTGGTCACGCCAAAGCCATTCTCGTAATCGGCAAAATGGTGCTGAAGGTGGTACTTCTTGAGCTCCTTGTAGTATGAAGGAAGACTATATCGATGTTAGCGTGAATTCATTGTATCAAAGATGGAATGCAACTTACCTGCGGTGGTGCAGGAAGTAATGGGTGAGATCATAGCAGATATACCCGAAGATTCCGCCGGAGAATACCGACGTAGCCGCATACCAGTTGTAATAGAATACTGCGTGTGCCAGCTTCCAGAAAGGAGCAGCTAGTACCACGAATAGTGTCGGTGGCATAACGAGACGATACTTGTCCATCGGGAGGTAGTGGTGGATACCGTGGAGCAGGAAGTGCAGGGTAATACCGACACGGTTATCCGGAAGATAGTGGTCAATGTGGAAGAGGAATCGGTGCAACAGATACTCGATCAGAGTCCAGAGACACACACCAACGGTGAAGTAGGAGGCAGCAACGACGGAGTTACCCAGCCCGACAGCCCCCACCGTTATTCCGTAGGCAACACATGGCAACCAAATAGTTGGCACGATGTACCATGCGGTTTTGCTGAGAGGCTCCAGGAAGTTGCCGAACAAAGGAGCGGACTCCCCTCCCCGGTAGTGACGAGGCCGATGAATCTGCTCCAAGTAGAACTCCTTGGAGAAGTTGCTGTACCACAGCTGCAGCAGAAGCGGCTTGTTTAAGTCCAGGAACTTATGGGTTTTGTAGTCCTGGCTATAGTCGGTGTCTATCGACAGGTCCTCCTCCCGAGACATTCCAGTAGTTGTGTAAATGGGTCCGGACTCGGTTTCGGTCACCGTTTCGATGACAGTTGTCGTCGTTGTCGTAGTTTTGCCAGGTGTCGAGACATCGGAGACAAAGCCAATGTGGCACTCCTCCAAAATTTCATAGGCAGCGTCGCTGTGCTCGTGGGAGACCTCATCTTTCAGGATATCCGTCACATCCTGCCCGGCATACTCCAGGATCAGATCGCCACCACCGGGATGCGCGTCGAGGAAATCGGTGACATCGTAAACGTTACGCCCCACGGTGATGTAGCATGACTTGTCGGTGTTGTGGGATTGGACGTCGGCGGAGGTCAACGTTGGCAGAACTCTCCCAGGCATGTTGGCGGAAATGCAAGAGAAACAAAATAGGGGAAATAGGGGAAAGGAAATAACCTTGGAATAGTAGGTAAAATGGGAGATGAAAATCCGAAAGGCGGCGAATAATAAGAATTAATCAGGGGAGGCGTGGCGTGACACCAGAAGCCGAGAACCAGGGATCCGCCTCCTCCCGGAGCCTTGGAAATTTTCGAATGCTCAACTTGCCATTGGATCAGGCAACAAGGTTGGGCAGGGTCCACATCGGACTTTGATCAATAGCCTATTAGAGAGTAACTCCTTATTTAATTCGACAAAAAAAATATGCAAGGTACGATTACGGATGTAGTTTTGTACATCTCCCCATCTCATGTCGGTGGGGCTGTTATATCTTAGCCGCATTGGAAAGGCGCTGAGGGACCTCGGGAGGAATTGCGGTCTAGGCTTAGCTCAGCTGTTAAGCTTCTACTCTCTAGCTTGCTTTTCGGGCAGTTTATGATCAAGGCGGCCGAGTGCACTAGGCAGTAGATCGGCAAGATGGTTATAAAAGACAGGAGTTGCTGGGACATGCCAAGAAAGATGAGACACGAAGCCGGAATCATCAAAATATATCGCCTTTTTCTGAAGCCGAAGCATTCTGATCTATCATATCTGTGGAGAAGACAATGGCAAAAGCAAGCCAAATCGGTTGGATAGCAAGTGAGTGTAAGGATCGTGTCTTAGATGCTGATATTCTTAAAGACAAAGGACTGTAGAATATGTACCTAGTCAAGGATGACAGTTTGTGCTGAGGTAGAAGCTTGACAACCGTCGAGATTTATACTACCTCTGCCTTTTCCTAACAGCCTGATGTTACCAGATCAAGTATTTTCGACAGAACTGGGAGTGCCTACACGCGTGGTCTATTTTAATTAGGTTTTTAAATATGGTTGGTTGCCAGGCATCTTAAGATTTGGATAAACCTAGAATCATTTATATATACTTTGTACCAACGAGGCAGGAAGAGACTAAGAAGATGTATCTTTGGATTAATAGGAAGGCCAAGCTGGTGGATCAGCAAGGAGAAAAAGGAAGTCGAGTTAGGAATGGATTCTAAAAGGAGAGATTAACGTACTAGTCACCATGGACGTAGCATGTTCTATTTATGTACTTGATGGTCTTCCAGCTGTACTCCGTACATGGACAACGATGACTTCTGACTAACCAGATATAGTTAGTAGGTCACCACATCCACCACTATCCCCAAACAGGCTAGAGTTATCAGGTTAAACTGCGAAACCGCTCAGGCTAAGCTGCTAGCTCCTTCGACGAGATTCTCAGCAATCCTCCCTAACTCCGAGGCTTGGGGACTCAGACTGGATTTTCGTTTGCCACCCGGTCGATCGGTCTAATATAAACACGAAAATCCGCAGCCAGACCCCATATTGACCCCATTAATGGAGACGATCCCCATAAGCACATCGGTCTGACAGGAACAGAAAGTCTGACCTCTCGGGATCCTCCAGAGGGAAAGGATCTGTCGAGTTGACCAAAGGCCTATACGAAGTACAGCATACTAGTACACATCGAGTACATGCTCCGTACTTTATTCAGTGGGCAGTCTCTGTACGCGCCCGGCTCTCGGCCGGGCTAAGTCTCCACTGAGAGTCTAGCGTTATCCCGCGGGGCTATGGCCGGAACGATAACTTACAACGCTATTATGGGCTATTTATCGGCCTCTGCATGGTCAATTCCAATTTTGAATCAGGGATTATACCTCGCACTAATTAGTAGTGGAGATTTCAGCCCCTCTTCCTTCCCACATTCTCTAACTTCTTTTTTCTTGTCTCTCTTGTACTTGTAATCTTCCCTGTCCTCATACGATATACCCTTCTACGCTCCCTCTCCCTCCACCGCCCACAATGTCGGCCGCAGAGAACTGGTCCCCCGAGAACCCAATTCTGGCCTACCTGCAGACATTAGTGGCTACCAAAAAGACTCTTCCTTATGGGCAGCCCGTCGTCGTCCACGCCTCTGTCAGTCACATCAACTCCGCTTCATTGCTGCGGCTGGCCGCAGAGATCGGCCCGCACATCGCCATACTACAAATTCCAGCCGATGTCATCGACGACTGGTCCAGCGACACCATTGAACAACTTCAGTACCTGTCCAAGAAACATAGATTTCTACTGTGGGAAGGAAGCAAGATTCTGAACCCGTTGGTAAATTTTATGGGCAGAGCGGACGCGCCGTTGGAAACGAGGCAGGCTTTGGCCGACTTTATCAAGAAGTCATACACCAGTGGCCCATTGAGAACGGCGACATGGTCCAATCTGGCCACCTCGTGGGCCCCCGCAGCTCCAATGGACCAACAGGAAAATGATGTACTGATCCCTACCTTGCGATTGGCGGCTCGCGAGGCCGTTGCGACAACCGCGAAGATAATCCAAACCGAGATCTCTGCCGAGATGAATAACTACTCGTCGGGCGAGGAGGTGGAGATCATCATCCCCTCCACGGAAACAAGCAACGGTTGGAAAGAATTCAGTCCGAATAATACGGGATCGTCCTTACGGAAATCGTCAACCATCTCGGTCACCACCGAGTCTGTGACTCTGCACGCGCAGTTCCACGCAGATGACGGTGTCCCAATTCCCCCGCAACTGGCCCGCAGCGTTGCACTGTGTCTACCCGGTACCATTGACACCGCATTTACCCCCGATTTCCGCCAAAGTACGATAATCGCCGCATGTGCCAACTCCGACTTTGTCATCGGATTCGCGACGAACGAGCCCTTTTTCGTCAATCACCGAGGAAACGATATTTTTGAATTGGCCTTATTCGATGGCAACGGAAATCCCCAAGCAGGTATCGACGCTGCCAAACTCTCCACCTTACCTTATCTCAACGAAAATGGGAAATCGCTCGGTGTATTCTCTCTTGTATCACCCACTCTTAGCCTCGGCTTTGAGTTTGATCCTGCTTTCAAGCCTAATGGAAGTGAATCACCTGCCCCTGGCATTGAAACTCCATACACGGTGCAATACCTATACCATGCAATCGGGCAAGCGGTAGCCCTCCGGGGAAAGAACAAACAAGAACAAGAAGCCTCCGGTCTTCCAGAGAGAACACCGGTGGGCCCCAAAATCATGCAAATTCCAGTGGTTATTATTGTATAATGGCAGACAGATAGCGCTTGTTGTTCTGCATACTCGCTGGCCGTTGGCGAGTTTTAATGGCCTCATTCAAGGTTGGCACCTTTGGACTTGAGTATGTATGCTATACGCCCATCTTGTTTTACTTTTTGCGACCTGCCAATATTTTCAAGCCTCACTCGTGTCGGTACCTACACCAAAAGTGTCTTATACATATACCAATGAATTTGATGAACAGATAAATGGCTGGCCTAACTTGTGCTCGAATGATATGTAAAATCCCGAGGTCCATTGTGAAGATGAATATAGGCCTTAATTATCAGGCAACATACACGTGCCCATTCTTAGTCATATTGTGGGAATCGCCTCCAGGGCTCCACCCTGGCCAAGGTGGGCATGGAGATCAACAGTGAAAGTGCTTTCAGCTCTATAGACATTCTGCTCTATCTTCTGTGGGGTCCTCTATGCATTAATACTCGTCTTTTTCTTATAAAACTGATCATGGAATCAAATTAGTATTTGATTGCCAAACAGTTGACCTAATTGACATCGAACACCAACCGCCATCTTCATGAACACATTCTGAAACTCGAAAATACTTTGCTATGACAGTACATAACACAACTCGCTGGACAGAATCCCCTTGATTATTTACATCCAATGTTTGCCTCCACAGCCACAGTTTCTCGCCATATCATACCCACGGAGACCTTCGGGAAACTCGACAGCCATGAACCCAGCCAAAACTCCAGGCCATCAAAGTGGGCTTTCTGGTCAAAATGACCTCCAACAGAATGACGAGGAGCCACCAATTACAGTTATTACCGCGAATGGGGACCTAATTCTCGAGTACATCGCTCCCGGCGACTCTTCGTCGTCACCCACCAAGCGCAAATGGCAGGTGGCAAGCGAGCGTCTTACCTCCCACAGTCCATATTTCCAAGCACTACTGGATCCCACCAAGTTCTCCGAGGGAAGACAGTTCAATGCCCAAAAGCAAGCCTGGAATGAATCCCAGACACCAGACCCAGCCTTACAGCATGCGCTACCAAAAGTCAGGCTTCCTAACGTCCGCTCTACCAGCATGTGCGGAGAAGATGCCATTGAGTTATTTTTAAAGATTCTATGTCTTGATTCTTTGGATGAAAATGAAAGAGCTGTGTTTGAGAATGAGTTGAAGACCCAGTCTACATCGCTTGTTGCGAGAATGATCGACCTTGCCGATTCATTGAATTCTCCTCGTGTTGTCCAGGATGTTCTGCAGAGGATTGGATATTTATATGGAAAGTCGAAGACTGCGCTCCTTGCCAGGTTTAATTCAGCTTTGTTATCAATGAAGGAAGATCGAATTCGACAGATCATCTTCATATCCGCCTTCCTCGATGATTCACGTCTCACTAGAATCATGACCCACGCCTTGCTGGTTGTGGGCTCCAGATTCTGGATAAATGGGCTAGATGCCCCTGAAGAAGAATCTTTGCGCTGGAGATATTTACCACATGGGTTAGAAGGTGGATTTCCATTAATCCCAACTAGTTCCCGTTAGCTAAATCATCTTTCTGCAGAGGAAATCTATTGCCGACGTCAATATGTTTTGAACACCATCACCGACCTACAGGCTCATTTCCTTCGAGTCTATGGGGGTCTGGAGGAAACCGACAGTGCAAGGTCCGCAGCAAACAACAGAACATTGGGCAGGGCATTCATCGCGTCTGCAAATACGCTTTTTCAATCTCGTCAATTCCAATGCCGAGGCGGATTCAACAACGCCAGCCAGTGCGACCTCTTCCAACTCGGCCAGATGATCCGATTTTTCTCAATGCGCGCCAGAACGATCTTCCTAGGATCGACATTGATAGACCCGGATTTCGACTCAGCTCCGCACGATGA